GGGGATCGGGGAAGCCGCCAACAGGAGGAAGAGGAGACAAATTTGAGAAAGAAAGGGCTAAGGGACAGGGGTCTTTCAGGACTAAGTAGGACTTACTGTGAGCTGCACATGAGCAGAGGAGGGAGTCAGCAGGTGGATGATGCACTGTGGTCACAAGGTGTGAGGCCACTCAGGAGAAGAATCCAGGATGGAGAACTCTGAAGTGCGTCCCTTCCTCTGCCTCTCCACCTTGTTCAGTCCAATAACTCAGCTTTCAGGGATGGTATTGCACAGTTTCCAACAGTGATACTTCCCTGATTCTGAAATCTTAGATGGGTGTGGTTTGGGCGTTGCTTGCCTTCTTCGAGTCTCTTTGTGGTAGTTTGAATCAATTGGCCCCAATAATCTCATACGGAGTGGACTATTAGGAGGTGTGCCTTGTTGGAGTAGGTATGGCCTTGTTGGGGGAAATGTGCCACTGTGGGAGCAGGCTTTGAGGCTTTCTAAGCTCAGGATTCTGCCCAGTGTCTCAGTCAACATTCTATTGCCTCCAAGATGTAGGTCACTCAGCTCCTTCACCAGCACAGGTCTACCTGTATGCTGCCATGATGGCAATGGACTGAACCTCTGAAACTGTAAGGGAGCCCCCTCAATCAAACATTTTCCTCATCAGGGTTCCATGGTCGTGGTGTCTCTTCATAGCAATAGAAACCCTATGACACTCAGTTTCTTTACCTGGGAAGTATTTACAATGGTAACATTCTCCTTATAAAGTTTACACAGTGATTGACTGGGATGGTATAGAATCACGTGCTAGGAGCTCAGAATTGCCTTTCTCATAACACCTATTACTGTTTCTTTTTAATTTTTTCCATTTCTTTGTTTAGTTTTTTTTTTTTTTGTAATTTTATTTTAGTTAGGTACTTCCCACCAGCAGGCATGGCAGTCTCACTGTGCATCACTGGGTTATTTGGAACTCATTGTGCAAATCAGGGTGGTCTCAAACTCACATATATTCACCCACCTGGGATTGAAGGTGTGTACCACCATACCTCATCTAATATTTTTTTATTTTAGTTATGTGCATGGTGTGTGTGTGTGTGTGTGTGTGTGTGTGTGTGTGTGTGTGTGTGTGTGTGTGTGTGTAGGTACCTCAGCACTGTACATGTCTTCTTACATTTTTTTTAACACATCATGATACTTCTATAGTTTTATGGGTTTTGTTGTTTGTTTTCTGGTTTGTTTCTTAGTGCTCTGGAGTGTTTTACCTGTGTTTGTGCCTGTGCACCAAGGGAGTGCCTGGTGCCAATAGAGGTCAAAAGAGGGCATTGGGTCCCCTGAGACTGGAGTTACAGACAGTCATAAGTTGCCATGTGGGTGCTGGGAATTGAACCCTGGTCCTCTGGAAGAGTGGTTTGTGTTCTTAATTGTGGAGCCATTTCTCCACCCTCCTGTTATTAAGTCAACAAATGCTTTTTGAACTCAGGTTCTTCCTACATGTTATGCCCCTTGGTACCACTTCTAGGGTAAAGATGAAATCTACTGGATTATTTCTCCATGCAAATGTGAGGATGCTTTCAGTTTTGTCTCCTTTTCTGTGATATCATCATCATCATCATTCTCCCTCCCTAACCTTCTCTCTCCCTCTCCCTCCCTCCCTCCTTCCTCTTTCTCTTTCTCTCCTTAGTTATTTTGGTGTTTTTTTTTTTAAACAAGGTCTCATCTTGTAGCTGGCTGACTTGTAACTCACTATGTAGAGAAGTTGGCCTTGAACTCCTAGAAATCTGCCTGCCCTAGACTCCTACTGTGATGGCTAAAGCTATGTAAAGATGCTGTGGCTAGATAGGCCCTAAGCCCTAGGGAGTGTCTACTGCTGTAATTCTGCTAAAAGGAGTCCTAGCAACTTATTGCTATACCCATTTTTCAGTCCTCACCAGAGAAAATTCTTGCAGTGCTCAGTAACACAGAGACTCATAACAATTTGGTCAACAGCCAGAGAGCAAGCTTGCCCCGATTTATTGAAATTCAAGGAAACATCCTAGGAAGTGATCATGATTTCAATTTTGACTGCAGCCAAGTAGCATCCTAGCAATTCTGCATAGGTCACGACTACTTGAATTAATGCACAAACTCTAGAAAAGGCGTTAGCTTCACAATCAGCATGATCAACTTCGTTTGTTTGTTTTTTGAGACAGGGTTTCTCTGTGTAGCTTTGGCTGTCCTGAAACTCGCTTTGTAGACCAGGCTGGCCTTGAAGTCACAGAGATCTGCTGCCTCTACCTCCCAAGTGCTGGGATTAAAGGTGTGTACCACCACTGCCCAGCCAGGATCAACATTTAATCAAAACACTTCATTGTTGCAAAGCTTTAGAAGGTTGCTCTTGTGGCTGCTGTTCATCAATATGTGCCTGATCTAACTGAAAATCGTCTTGGTTGATTCTACACATTTTGCATCATCAAATGGCTTCCTCTGACTGCCAGGCTGAAGAAACTTCTTCACTGTGGGGAGGTTGCTGACTCTGGTTCTCAGTGCCTGCAACAAACAAATCAGAGCCTCAGAGAGCAGCTGAAGAAAAAGCTATTATTGCTTGTGCAGCACTGTGCCCCTGTCAGTCAAAGACCAACCGATCCCCTTCATCAGCAGCAGGTGGAGGTCAGAGACAGACACTCAGGGAGAATGAAGTTGAGAGGGGAAAATGGAGCTTTCCCCCAGTACATCTTAAACACTCCTTCTTCTTGAGTGGTTCCCATCTTCTTCCATGAAGATCTGGGACAATAGAGTCAGAAATAGTGATAGAAAATAAAACAGGAATCTGGGTCCAGTCACAACCAACCTTCACACTGAGAAAGGAAAGTGGGAACTGTCAGGGGCTGGCAGTATATTCCAGTGGTACAGCACTTGCCTGGTGTATGCAAGGCTTAATCACTTAGCACCACACAAAACAAAGACAATAAAACCAGTAAGGGAGCTGGAGAATGGCTCAGTGGGCAAAGTGCCTGCTATGCAAGCATGAGGGTGTGAGTTTGGATCCCCACAACCCACATAGAAGCAAGTACAGTAGTATGTGTCTTTGCCCTGGCACTGTGGTGCAGAGGGTGGAAGAGACAGCTCTGAAATTCATTGGTCAGCCAGTCCAGCTGAATAGATGAGCTCCAGCTCAGGGACAAACTGCATCTCAAGGATGAGATAGAGAGCAATACAGGAAGGCATCCTATGAACACCTCTGGCTTCCATCTGCATAGGCACATTTGTACACACTCAGATGAACACACGCATACATCACACACACACACACACACACACACACACACACACACACAGAGGAAGTTACTGGATTGGGGAAATGTGTTTGTGAGGGAAGCCATTGCAGACAGAAGTTTGGTAACATAGAAACTTGAAAAGACCTCTGCAGATAGATTCAGTGTGGAAGACAAGGCTATAGCAGTGACAACGAGAATCTTTGAGATCAGGATCAAATCCAATGTGGAATAGTGTATGGGGGAGAGAAAGCAAGACTCTGGGTTCTTCCCATTATACAAGACCAAGTGTACTTGAGATAGCAGGTGTCTTAGACCTAAGGTCTAAAATCTCATTTTGTGGATATAGCTGGGGCCGAGGTGTGGCTGTAAAGGTAGGAAGAAACTAGATTGTGGGTCAAAATATTGGATCCCATGGTAAGATATGGGTTGCCCCTCATAGGGTTTAAAATAGAGCACCTCCAACAGAGGGAAGTTGGCCAAAGCACTGGGGTCCAGCTCTTCCACGTGGTAGAGAAGTTCAACCAGGGAAACATCAGCCCTGCTCAGCCTGTTGCCAACGAGATAATCTTGTTCATGGCTCTTTAACACCTGAAGGATTCAAGATGTTAGTTAGATGTTGAAGACAACAGCCATCATCTGGGGCCTCTTGACTTTTTCTGAGGTTCTCAAGTCAAATTCCTCTCTGCTTCCTTTTTACATGTGTATGGAGCCCCACTCCTTTCCCTAGGCCCCTGACTCATGTCCAAAATCAAGAAGCATGTCTCTGCCCATCATTTTATCATCTGTCCTTCACTGCTTTTCAGACATGTGCCAAACTCTCAGCTCCAGCCACACTATCCCCGCCCCACAGGGTGACGCTCTGACATTTGAGGGTGTCCCGTTAACTGTACTCTGCGGTCTCTTAGTGGAAAGTGGCTTCACCTGTGTGAATACACCCTTCACACTAAAGTAGACTGTGAAGTGATTACATTTCTCCTCCTTCTGCTCAATTAACAATAATGAAGTCCATTCTGGAAGGGAGTACCAACAACCCAAGAACACCCAGACCCTTTTTCTCTTGTCTCTTTTGTGACTTAGAATCTGCATCTCCCCCAAATTAAGAACCCCAGCCCACAACACGATGCTGTTAGTAGATAGGGCCCTTGAGAAGGGGTTTGCTCTTGCAGCTTAAACTCTCAATAATGACACCTGCTCCCAACAAGGGGGCTCCAGAGACTTCCCATGCCCCACCTGCCATTGAAGACACAGGCAGAAGGCAGGCAGGCATGAACCAAGGAACAAGTCTGGCTAGAAACCAATCTTCTCCATCTTGATTTCATATCATATCATGCTTTAACCCATACCATGCTTGGCATCTTTGTTGTAGCAATGTTAACTGCTCAGATGCCCCTGAGGACTAATGGACCCTCTGAATGCTCTGAAGGTCAAACACCTGGCACTCACCTTCTCATAGGCAGGGAAGTAACGGTTCCTTGCTTTGTCTTTGATTGTGGCAAGGGCAGCATCTTTCTCCCCAGGGGGCATATGGGGGAAATAGAGAACCATTAACTCCAGATCTGCCACACCTTCCGAATACATGTCAATGCTGAAAAACAGACAAGTGTTCTGCTAAAGCCCTCTTGCCTTAACCTCAGATTTTATAGTTGAAGGGTGTAAGAGACAGGGGTAAAATAGTTCACCTCTGATGGGGCTGTGGAGCCAGTAATAATATGATTTTTACTTGCTGATTAGCAACCCTTTTGGAATACACACACACACACACACACACACACACACACACACACACACACAGGATACGGGATCTCTCTATGTAGCTTGGGCTAGCCTGTATATTTACTATGTTTACAGGCTGGCCTTAAACTCACAAAGACTCTTCTTCCTTTGTCTCTGAGTGCTGGGATTAAAAGCAAACATGACCACTTCCAGTAATAACATTCCCTTTTGAATGACCTAAGGCTAGCAAGCAATGTTCCTCTCTTTATCCATTCTTGTGTTAACATTTGGCTCTTTTTTTTTAAGTTTTGAACATTATGAATAACACATAAACAAACATCCTATACAATCATTCCTGAGGACGTGTCTTCATTTCTCTTCTGTGTCATGTGGTAATAGAACCACTGTGTTATTGGTTACTCAGTGTTTAACTTTTTGAGAAAAAGCCCACAGTTCCAGAGAAGATTTAGTTTGAATGGGTTGTTCTATCAGGAGAGAGAAAACCTGATGATCAGTCTTGACACCCCCAAACAGCCTCCAATTCCCACAAAAAGCTTCATGCAACCCTGGTGTCTTTGTACCAGACTCTATGAATCACAATCAGCCATGGTAGATTTCCACGGTAACTTATGGTTATGGCTGTAACATCAGAACTGGAAGATAACCGCCTTTAGGCCTTTGGAGCTTTCTCTTTACTGCCCTTTGGACTTTCCCTTTGTCCAAAGCTATTGGCTAGAGTGTTGCTTCTGAAGACTCCATCATCTCCTATTCTACATGAGACAATCTTACCTCTCCTATTTTTCCATCATCCCCCCTCACATTCTTCCCTCAACTCCATAGTAGACTTCTTAACTGATGTCAGTGTTTGCATGCCTAAGCACTCAGGCCCATTGTCTTCATGAGTCCTTTACCATGGTTCTATTCACTCAAGGACCTAAATCTTTCCCATAATGAGAGAAACTATATCATACAGGGCTCTCTCCTTTATGTCCTTCCCATAGAGGTTGTATTTGGAGGCAATGTAGTTGAGAATGGCTTTGGTCTGCACCAGCTTCATTCCGTCCACCTCCGCCATGGGCACTTGCTGGAACATCAAACTCCCATCTATTAGATGAAGCAAAGAAAAAGGAGACTAAGATGTTTATGGGCTTATACTGTCCTTCCCTCCCTCCCCGCCCCTTTGTCTCCATATATATGGATATGTATGTATGTATGTATTATGTATGTGTGTATTATGTATGTATGTATTATGTATGTGTGTATGTATGTATATTCTATGGTTAGATATATTCAAAGCAACATGTATTTGATGAATTGACTGAAATTTTAAAAACAACTTATCACTTAGTAACCTTTTAATGAAATAGCATTTAATGTTTTTGTTTTCTGATTCTTTTGTGTCTTCTAACTTTACCCTATTATCTTATTGATATCTTATTTCATATCCAGGATACTAATTCTATCTTTGTTACACGGTATGTGATGGAGTGTTTATTACATGTTCATATATGTTTTGGGAGGAAGGTGAGGGAGGTACAAGCCAACAGTCAGCTGGGACCACTACATCATTACAACAAGGCAAGATCATAAGCCTGCTTCTCTGTTGCTTTCCTGTGTGTGTGTGTGTGTGTGTGTGTGTGTGTGTGTGTGTGTGTGTGTGTGTTTTACTAACACCAAGGGTCAGTATGTGCTGGGCAGGCCAGGAAACCCTTATCCATAGGTTTTGATCTTCCCCGATTTCTCTCTCATCTTCCCTCATAGTATTCCATATAATCAGCATAATCTTTCTATTAATCCTATAATACAGTGTTACTAGGGAAATGGTTTGTAAAACCTGTTAGAACTCAAGGTAAGTGGCTGACATAGTTGCTCCTGGCATCTAGTGAATTGTGTGTGGATGGAAGGCAGTGTGGGAAGCCAAGCTAACCTCAGCAAGCATGGAAGAGCACAGATGGGACATTCATGGGGCTATGGGGATGGTTTCGGCAAATACAGAGTTCCAGGCCTTTTAACTGTGATATTTATAAGATCTGATTCCAGTGACCCATGACTTAGAGTTTACCACTCTCTCATTAATTACTATCTGATAATTTGCCATGGTTACATAGGTACTGTCTAATTTTAAAGCTCCCACTAGAAACCCTCTCAGGAACAGTTAGATCTTTGTTCTTACCATTTCTTAACCTTGCCAAGTCATCCCGAGTTTTCAGAAATTTCTCTTCAAACTGGAATACAGAAAGAATAAACAAGTCTTTATTAATTGATTTCATTGTGTTCCTGGCTCTTGACTTCAGTGACTCCTATCTGTAGATAACATGAGAGAAGGGAGATATTATTTAATTTGGCGAGTGCATGGGTGAACTAATCATGGCTGGCGGGAATTAAGAGCAGATCTTTTAAGAAAAGAGCTGCGGTCACAACACACCGCTTCTCCTTCTTATAGTTGACATAGTCTTTCCAAAACTCTACCTATGTAGCTGATTAAGTCATGGGTTACAGGAATGCCAGTGGAAGGAGAATGCTGACCATTTCTTCTGGCTATCCTTTACAATATTTCAGCCTATCCACCATGAGATCAGAAGAAACATTGTGTGTCTCAAGCATGGAATATAACTCAGGGTAGGGGCTAGCATCTACCAACAGTCTTGGGTTGTAATAACAGCACTTCTCTCCTGAGGAGCCCTGCTGCGGATGAAGCAGATCCTTCTTCCTACACTACTTTATACTTGCAAGTAAAATTGCCTCTCCTGAAAAATGGGGCACCATTATATAGAATTCCCAATTTAAGATGTAATTAGCATCTCTACATAATTTTTTGTCACCAAAATCTTTGGGTTCTGAGATGGCTTTTTGAGTTGGCCATGATCTTTAGAGTGTACCATGTTCTTCACATTGGCTATGTTTCTAAGTGTTCTTGTGTCTCAGTATCCTAATCCATAGAATGTATTTTACACTTGGGTTGCTCTTAGGACTAAGCTACTGAGGCAGGAAGCCACTCAGAAAAATCACCAGTTGTATATTAATGGCTCAGTAAATGTAAGACATCATTAGCATCTTAAATGCCACCATTTGTGTATACACAAAAACACATTTCTCAACTCAGAGGGAATAAGAGATTGTTTTGGATTTCAATTTGAGTAGCCATTGGCCTGAGAACATGAATTTAGACAAGATCGGGCATGTTCAGGGTGGTATGGCCATAGACGAGAACATGGATTTAGATTACACCAAGTTCAATTGTTCCAATATGGAATCGGTTACATGAAGTTTTTATGGTAACAGAGCAAAGAAATTACAAATCAAGCTACTTTTAAAACACAGTGTTGGAAACATTGTAGAGGTAGGTTACAGTCAAGTGATGGAATCTCAACTGTGGGCCTCTGGGACTATCTGATAGTATTTTCAGTCCTTCCATTGATGCAAAATTAGCTTTTGTTAACACATTTCAAAGAGTTTTTATGTGTTTATGGGAAGTTAGGTATGACACAGGTGGACAAAAGGCAGCGCTGTAGGTGTCTAAAGATTTCCCAAGGTAAATAGGAATTAGCCTCTGAGTTTGTGATATGCCAGGCTCCCCACAGTTTTAATCAGCCTCCACACACTTAGCTTCTTTGTAGGAATTCTTGTTCACGGGTGCTTTTTGACATCATCCTTTTAGTTTTTAAATATAGTTTAAACTGTTCTCATAATGGTGAAAAATGTACTTCATCCTAGATCCATATATAATCATTTAAATTTATTTTTTTCTGAAATAAGACATTGGAATGTTTGTCATGTCAGCTGGAAGTAGAGTCCAACTACAACTACAGTAGCCATGTATATTTAATAGAAATAGGAAAGTTAGTTTATATATAATATTACAAGTTGTTTTGTAGGTAGAGTTCAGCCTAAAGCCTATACAAAGAGTCATCAAGCAGGTGACTCTTGTTGACATGTTTGTGCCATGTTTTATGCTAGCTGTAAGATTGTATAATCATTTATTTAACACAGGAAAGACTCCATTCGCTCATTTGTAAAGTTTAGAGAAAGTGCATTCTTCTTTAAAAAAAATAGTGGCATGTTTTCAAAACACTCAGTACCTCACTGGCCCCACAGAAAGCAAATATCCTTACAGAATACAGTGGTGTGATTTTCAGTGACTTTTCCACTTTCATGGAGTTCCTGACTGTAAAACGTCAGGATATCAGGGTTACTTAGCATACTCCGTGTATCAGTTTCCTGTGGATCTGTATGATCACATGGTGTCACACCCAGGGACAAGAAGGTGGTATGATAACAATTTGCCGAACACCCAGCCCAGGAAAAACATGAAGGGTGGAGGGTGGGCACCCCAGGAGGATGGGCAGGGTGGGATGTGGCTGGAGTGGGATGTTGATGCAGAGGCTGCTGCTGCTGGATCGGCTGTAATGATCATCTTTTCTACACTAAGTAGGATCCAGGCAACTTGTTCTCAGCAGGCTCCTCAGTCATGCTGAGAGGCAGGAGAGGAAGCTGACATGCCTGCCACTTGTTCTTCCTGCTCTGAACTCACTCTTGAAACACAAGGCCACCACCTGGTTGCTTGGGAAAACAGACCGCTGGTTTGTATGAAGAAAACAGTCTGTGTTGCTGCTACAATTTTGTTCTCCTTTCTTCATTACATTGAAACCGGATCAGTCCATACAATCCACATATTCACAGAGTGGTTGTGAATGGGTGCTAATCTGAGGCTTTGGTGAACACTTTGCTAGGAAGCTGAGGAGGCAGTGGAAGCCCAGGTGAAGGACAGAACCTCATATTGTAGTCCTCCCTGTCTGACCACCCCCTCCCAGAGACAAGGGCAGTTTCCATGACATCCTTTTCAGAAGACCTGTCACCCAATTTTGGGGTCCATCTGGCCTGTACTGAGAAGTTTTGCTCCCCTTGTGACAATTCTAGAAAGCAGTGCTCAACTGAGTCACAAAGATCCCCACTGGATTTCTGCTCAAACAGTTGGAAAAATGTCCTTTAACCCAGTAAATAACTCGATTCCATGTCTCATACGTGTGTGTATATAAATGTGTGTGTGTGTGTGTGTGTGTGTGTGTGTGTGTGTGTGTGTGTGTGTGTGTGTGTGTATTTAAACCAAATATATAGAGATATATACTGAACTAGAAAATTCCTGAAAAAATGCCATGTCTAGCTGTGAATGAAAAACTCCAAGAAGGAGTCTATGTCTGGAGAGGCTTGTGAATTTGTGAAATTTCAGTATTGTGAACAGATTGTCATTTTGCAGGTTCAGATACTAACTGCTTTATCTTGTGCTAGTTTTAGCCTTATGGAACAGCCATTCCATACTCAACTATTATCTGACCTCACATCTCCTGATGATAAACAAAAAGCCTTTTAGAAGATATTCACTTAGAATTAATATCTTGTAATAATAAATAGAAACCTCTTAGAAGCTGTTAACTTAGCAGGACACTAGCTTCCACCAATCCAACAGTTAAGAATGTCACCAAATAGCATCTAGGCCTATAGAATAGCTCTCCTCATCTCATTGTCCCTGCCTCTCTGGTGTACCCACCAATGTATTTTAAACTTGTCTAGATTTATGACTCTTTTTTGTTCTGCAAAACTATAAAAAAAAAAAAAAAACGTGAAACTACTTTCTTCTTGGGACATGGAATTTGAGGTAAACTAAATTGGGTTCCCAGGGGCCATGGTCACTCACAATGTCTCCAGAATAAACTATCTCTTATCCCATTTAAGATGAGAGCTGTGGCTTTTATGTTGACAATACAATGCCCAAAGGCCATCATTGCAACTGTCATTTTTTTGTCCTGTATCCTCAGGACAAACAGAAAACAACCTGACTTCTCTAGATAATATGAATGAACATGTCTCATGGTTAATAGAAGGTTTGCACTGTGTCTCCCTCCCATCTTTCCTCTGGGGTATATATTTTCATTGTATTTGAATTCATTTCCCAAGAGTGTATGCTTCAATCCTTTTATTGTTACCATGTTGGATATGTATACAAGTAAACAGAAAAATATAATGTTCCTTGCTATACCCCTCACTTACTTTCAACCGTTGTCAACTCAAGTCAACAAGCTTTCATTTACACCTCATCATTTTAATCACTTGAAGTAAATCTCAAATTTTATGTACACTCTCGCCCTCTCTAACAATGTTTGGGTCAACTACGAAGTGTTTGCACAGAGGTGGTCCCATAGAGTACAGCAGAATTTCAGAATTATTACCGCATGCTGAATGCATAAATTAAAAAGAGGCAGAAGGAGTGGAACTATAGTGAGACATTTAGGAGCATTCACAGAAACATTCCTTTAATGCTGAAAACATGGAAAAACCTTCATGTGCAGAAAAGAAAACCATGCTCCACTATCTGCTTTCAGGAATCTCAAGCAAACTCATGACAGAGTGACATCTCAGATGAGCCTCAGACACCTGAGAAAAAGACACTGTCTTCATAGAGGATAACAATTCATGCACGTCACTGTCCCAGAACTTCCCAAGGTGACAACATATGGAGGAAGAGGATGGTGACACTGAAGATCCAGACCACCATCAGCCTGAGGCTAATGTGTATATGTGTTTGTGTCTTACGTTTAAGCAACTTACAAAAGCTGAAAAAAAATAATAAAAAAATTAGAAATATTTTATTTGGCTATACAATGTGTTCTCCTTCTTATTGTTGTGGCAATAGGAAAAAAATGTTTAAAATGAAACTTGTGAAGTTGGACATTTACATTAAGTGAAGGTTAAGTTGTTATTGGGAATTTTTTTTTTCTTGAGTTAGTGTTGCCTGAACATGAAGTATTTATGTCAAGTCTGGGTACACATGCAAGTCAGTCATACTCTGAGAGTGGAGCAAATACCTGAGATAATTAACATAAAAGAAGGAAAGAGTTATCTCTGCTCATGCTTTCAGAGGGTTCAGTCCTCAGCCAGCTGCCTTCATTACTTTTGGACCTGGCTAGAACACTCAGGCACAAAGCACCTGCTGGAGCCAACTGTTCACATGGCTGCTGCAAGCAAAGAGAGAGAAAGCGGCTGGAGTCCAAGCATGCAGACATCCTAGGACCTGACTTCCTCCGACCAGGCCCCACTTCTTACAGGGCTCACTGCTGCCCAACACAGCCACAGGTTGGGGACTTAAATTCGCAGACCTTTGGAGGGCATTTGAGACCCATACATCATTATGCAGGGATGCCTTGGGCTTCCACTTCCACGCACACCTCAGTCATTGGTCACAGTTTCCATTCTAAGCACTATGCAGGGTAAATGCTTTACACATTGATTTTTGTCTATGTTTATATACATAAGTACTTATCATGGTGTCATAATTCCTACCGTATTCAGTTCGGTAACATTCTGTACAGGTTTGTGGCCTGGAAACATTATGCTATGCCATTTGGCCTAGGTACATTTTATATTATACCCCTTATTTTCCGCTAAGTGTAGAACATTTGAATACAACTGAACTGTCAAATGAATAACTTAAAAAGTATGTGGCTTTAAAAAAAACCTCTTCTCATGGGATGGTTATTTATTCCTTTGATTTTCTTATTAATCTTTTAATTGTTTTTAAGCTGGTTGGTTTTATTACATTACACACACACACACACACACACATAAATGTACATGAGTGTATATGTGTGGAATTATTCTTTGTTCTCATTCATCTCCCTTCCCCACTGCCTTGGTCTCATCTCCTCTGCCTTTGTTTCACCCTTAAATAGTTCAAATTGTTTCTCTTGAGCATAGGAACTGGGCTGGGAAAAAATAGCTTATTTGGAAACAGGTCTGCTGTGCATGCACAATGACCTGAGATGGACTCCCAGATCCCAGGTAAAATAGCTGAATGAGGTGGTGCACACTTGTACCACCCAGAGTTGGAGAAGTAAAAATAGGTGCAAACCTGAGGCTCCCTGGCCAGCCAGTCTTGCCTATGTGCTGAGCACCAGGCCAGTGAAGGAGCCTATCTGAAGGGAAAAAAAAGAAGAAGAAGGTGGCTGGTACTAGAGAAATCACCCTTGAGGTTGTCCTCTAGACTCTGCACATGTGCCCACATAACATATGCATCTGCACAAACATACACAAATAATAACAAACAAAACATAGAATCTATCCTAAAAACTATAATATGTGAGTATACCAAAAACACTAAAGTAACTTAGCAATATCAAGTAGGCAATGTTTATGCTTCTATTTTTTCTCTAAATGGCATGTTTTCCATTTACATTTTTACTGATGACTTAAATTTAAATATAGTGTACAAGTTTTGATAAATTGCTTACACTTATTTTAGTGTTTTTGAAAATTTCTTTTATTCTCTGTGTGTGTGTGTCTCTGTATGTGTGTGTGTGTGTGTGTGTGTGTGTGTGTGTGTGTGTGTGCGTGTGTGTGTGTGTGTCTGTATATGTGTGTTGTGTAAATTGAACTCAGATCCTCTGGAAGTGCAGCAAGGGCTCTTAACTGCTGAGCCATTTCTCCAGTCCTTATTTTAATGTTAATGATTGCTAATGAAAACAATAATTTATTAGGGTAGTAAGTTAATAGTTGGCAGCTTTTATTTTAGGTCATTCAGTAAGACACTCCGATGGCGCATAGGAGACACGTGTTTGGTAAAATCCATTTCAGATTCAACTTAAAATGACTCACGTCAGAACCTACCTCTACTCCCGCTGCAGCCAGGAGCCACCGAACAGGCTCCATTCTGCCCCGGCCATTAAAGTAGTGAAGGACCGGCTTTCCCGGCATGGCAGCAATCGCTTGGTTTCTCTAAACAGGAATGAAATACACGTTGCTTTTAAAGTCTGCCCTGTGAGGGGGTTTGGACAGCAGCCACTACACGGAAGTGTCTGCCTTCCTTAGGGCAGGGTTGGAGACATTCCAACAGTATGTTCTTTGGTCCAAATTGTTACCCATCAAGAACTACCCTCAGATTGCCCCAAGCCAGTTTAGTGTCTCCATTGGTTAAACTGTGACTTAAAACTAAAAACTGTTTCATAGGTGAGAGTGGAGGACAGTAATGTGTGGGACACAATAGGAAAACAGAACCAGCAAACTACAATTTATTGTGGACCTCTAATGGTCCCACCCATTACACCCCACTCTTTTTCTCTCTTCCCTTCCCTCCTCTCACCCTCCCCCCTCCAGGTGAAGGTCTAAGCCAGGGTTTGCATATGCTGACAAGCTCTGCATCTCTGAGCACATCCCAGCCCAGATCTCTTCTGACACAGTGCCTTTAATAGTCAGTCACACGACCACACAAAGTGCCTCTTTCTCCATTTTTCAGTTAAGGAAAATCTTAAGGCATTGTTCATAATCACACCAAACCAATGAGAGACATGAAGAATCACAGAGAGGAATAAAACCAAGAATGCTTTGTCTCCTCATATGTGAAGGCCATATCTGAGCACATCAAACCCAGAAGATATGGCTAGCAGCAATGAACAGGGCGGCAGGCAGGCACTGTTCAGCCCTTTGGCTGTTAGGTTGTGTTCCATCAAAAGCAGTGATTAGGCTTCAGAAATATGTTTTACTGCATGGAGAGAGTATGCTAATAACTCAGTTGCCCCCTAAAACAGTTATATTCTGCCCACACACACAGAGTGCTTATTCCTTGCTTATTCAGAATGTGATTTTCTATCTTTGTGCCTGCATTTCTGTGTGAAATCAAGGAAAAGAGGTGTTGCTGCATGCATTTTACAGAATTGATGGCTAAGTTGGGGGTGTCTCCATCTGCCACACTGGGGACTCTCATCAGTTCATCTTCATTGTATCCTAACAAAACATTCACCTAACGGGACTGTTAAATTTTACTTTTAGAGTATGGATAGCGAGACAGAGATTTCTAGAGGCGCTTGCCCAAAATGAAGCACTGTTCCTGTGTTCACGCTTCCATTCAAAACCAAAGTCTAGGTTTTATTATGGTATTAGTTTTCAAATCATGGTGGAAATCTCTACATGGGTTTTAAAATCTAGTATACGTTTTAATGAGATAGGAAAGGATAGGAGTTGTCAGAGTGCAGAAAGGGTTAAGGACATGGATGTGTTTTCAGTTCAGCATGTGTATGCTGTATGTGTGGAAATAAGCACATGTGTGTGCTCATTAGATCATTGTGAATGAACAGGACATCCTGCTGAGTCCGTTAAGGAAATGTGACACTCCCCATCTCAGGCTGCTTGGAGTGAGCCCAGCAAAGAATCAGAGAATGAGAGGCAGTGGCTCCTGGGATACATGGAGCCAGAGAGATCATGAGTGTAAACTAAACACCCAAGGATCATTGAGACCAAATGCTCCAGGGCTGAACTTGGGGGAAACTCCCTTCCCCCCACAGACCCAAAGACCGTTATATAACATTACATTTCTTCTTGGAAAGTTTTGATGTTATGCTACTTGAAACAATATCCTTGTCTTTAAAAATACACCAAAGGTGTATTTCTAAAACATGTGTGCTTGGATTTAAAATAGCAAGCTACTTTAAATAATATCACTTAAGATGTAGAGCTCCTAAGCTCCAACCTTTACATTATAAAATCTGTTGGTGATGCAATCATCCCATCATTCTTACACTTTAGAATGTGAGTATTGCATGTCCTTATTAGGGGGTTAATCATTAATCCAGCAGGATGAAAGGGAGAGTAAAGTTCACTTGGCTTCAGGTGTTTAATTGTTGGGAACTCAGAGCCAAGTGATTAAAATCTGCTCACTAATCCTATTACCATTGATATGGGATCATGTTCTGGAGTATTTCATCATAGGGATCCTCCCTCTAATTTTCTCCATTTCCAAACAAGAGCCTTCCAAAGATTGAGTCACCGCCAGGACAAAGGGCATCACACAGCCTCAGAGTCAACAGAAAGAGAACTAGAGAGACTGGATGATTTGATGGGGTCGTAACATGGTCCTCAGTCACAGTCAATTCTGAGGAGTAACTGCCCTGTCTACAACCACCATGGGAACAGCTCCTGGTGCTCCACTTACAGAGGTTTTCATGGAGTTCAGTGAGAAACCACACACTCCCTCTCTCATAGCATTTGACTATTGTCTTTCTCCTGCTACAAGTCAGGGCTGCTCTACTCCACTGGAGCCCCCACCTCTACTCCCCAGCTCCATGCTGCTGTCCTGAGGACCTACTTACTGCCTATTTTCCCAGAGTCCTCAAGGCTAGTCAAGGTTGAAGAGGGAATGAGGGAGCCTTTAGTTCATGAATGCCTCTCTGTGAGCAGCTTTTCAGGAACTCCAGAAACTGAAAGTTTGACAAAGGATTTCAGGGCTTTACTTAAGTGTGATGAGAACTAAAAAGACTCTTTATATGGTAACATTGTTGACTTTCACATTCTAATGACCTGTGCATTCTAGCTAACTCCAAATTCTCCAGTGTCTTCCCTCTAATTCATCCTTCTGAAGTGGTAGCCCTTGAGAAGTCAGCTCCTTCACTGATGCTCAGCCAGAGCTTAGGCTGCTTCCCCCACTCCTGAGGTTGGAGGGACATTGGGCAGCCACAACCTGAGGAATGTACTCAGAGACTCCACTCCCTAGAATTGGGATGCTTAGACTGATGTCCCAGAGAAGAATTTCAGGATATATCAGCATAAAGCAAAGCTGAAGTGCATTAAGAAAAGGCCTTGCCTTCCACTTACGGCTCAGGGAACATTGAAGAAGAGAAAGTAGAAAAAACCTACAGGCAAAAAATTGGGAGCAGTGCTGTGAAATGGAACACTCTTGACATGACATGGCTATTACTCGATTTTACTCACAGCAACCACAGTTACCTGCACAAAATCAATTAAAAATCCCAGTACTGAGGGGAGGAAGGTCCCAGTGCTCCATCCCCAATGGAAGGACAATTGACAGTTCATGACTGATAAGACAGGGAGAGTCGCTTCTCTTTTGGATGATCACGCGTGGGAGGCTGCTCATGATCCAGTGGATGATTCCACATCCTTGTGTATTTGGGTCAAACTAAAGGGACTCAGTGGGCAGTACGGCAAGAGAATGACAGGAAGTTGGGCGGGGTAATGTATCTGAGAGGGGAGCAGATGGAGTTAGAAAGAGGAAGGATGTGGAGAGTGGAAATGGCCAAGATGCCTTGCACGAAGAATGAAAGAATGAAAATAAAATAATCTGAAAAATCACTGCCTGAAAATGGTTTTGTTTTAGATTTGAGAGTTGGGGGAGGAAGGTGGAGGGAAGAGGAGGACCATTTAGGGCAAGGAAGGAGACTAGCAGAAAGAGAAGACAAGAGAGGGCAGCAGGTATAGAATGGGTGAAAGTATCATGATATACTCAATTTCAAGTATCTGGATGAACTCGGTTATTTTATATAGTGAGTGCACACTCAGTATTTCTGAAAGGGAAAAGAATAGTGGTATATACCCAAGTGTGTGAATGGGCCAGGGCGGGCTGTCTTAACAATAGCTATCCACACGTAATTGTGTTAGATTTGTAGTTATAAACTGTCTAAAATTTAAAGGTTAGGCAATTTGTTTAGACATGCTTATTTTTATCCAAAGAGTTACCCCCAACAAACTAGACTATATGCAGTTTATGAAGAGTATTGCATTGGTGTATAGTCTGATAAGATAGAATGCAAGTCAAAAATGGCAAATAATCAAGACAAATGTTCTGACTGCAAACATAATTTGTGGTCTTGATCAAAATCTCAACCAGCAGAGGTGAGTTCATTTTCCTTCCTAATCTATTTAATTCTCCCTATCCTACGTCTTGGCTCAGCATCACAATAGACAACTGTATATTGGTTCCTTCTATAGAGTATGCAGCTCCGGCATCAGTACCATGCTCCTCTTCCCTGGACATAACTCCAGTTTGTATGGGCTGGTACCCCTCTCTTTCTTCCGTATGAAGTTAATTTGTCTCTTATCAATAAATTCTCAGTCTCAGTTACCTAAGCTTTCATTTTTAGATTTCTAACAGTGTATCCAGCAGAAATGGAATCAACAGTTCTGAGACTGTCCTGAAGCACACCAAGTCTGTATAATGTGAGCACAAAACAAATGTTTTCATGTGCTAAAGTACTTTCTAAGTGCCAAAGGGCTTCGTGTGTGTGTGTGTGTTAGAAAAGTTGATTTGATTTAGTACTTACCTTAAAAAGCTGTTCCCTCTAAATAACTCCACAACACAAAAGAGTTCCTGATGTTGTATATACTATTTGTTAATTTGAATAAGCCCTTTCCCTTCCCAGTTAAGGGGAGACAATCCAATAAGAGAAAAGCTGCTTCCACATTGTCCAGAGGCCAGAAGTTTCTATGAGAGATTAGAAGAAAAATGCAAAGTCATGCCTGTGTTGCTAAACAGGTTTGTTAATGTTTTCCTATTCATTCCCATTCGAAGTGGAGAGCTTTAAGAATGGAATTCAGACAGATTTAACTCCCTGTGTGTCAGTGAGGGTGGACTGTTAAAAGAAACTCCCTGTGAGGTTTTCATGAGTGGCAGGCAAGGGCTAAAGCAAGTGGGAAATCTCTGCTTAGCTAAGCTGGGAGACGCTGTAAAGAGCAAGCTGATGGAGTAGGGAGTATTTCTGTTGCCTGGGCCACCAGATAAGGCACAAAACAACAGTTGAGTTTCAGACAAATAATGATTATTAATATAAGTATTCCCAAATATTGTGGGAATGTGCTTATGCTAAGAAGAGATGTTTTCTTTGAAATTCACATTGGCATGGGTGTCCTGGATTTTACCTTCTCAGCAAAAGGCCTTTGGATGTGGTTTGTGTTTGATTAGACTCTTCTACCTTCAGCTTCTGTTGTATTTTCTCAATAATGGTGACTCAGGTTATTTTCACATTATGTGTTTAATGTGTTTCTCTCATGGGCTTTTGTGTGTGTCAATCCCTATAAACGTGTACAAAATATGACCAAAGTACCAACTCAGTAAATTAATTTAGAATGTTGACAACAATTTCTAACAAATATGGAAGTGAAATAGTGTAGCCAACCCCAAATTATCAATCATTCCATCCAGCAAGTGCCACGTTTTGTCAACTATACTGTAGAGTAAGTAAGTTTATAATGTGTCCTCCTCAAAAGACAGGATCAAGTCCAAATTCCAGGATCTTACAAATATGAATTGAACTTGGAAAAAGTTCTTTGCATATGTGCTTAATATATAGAACTTATAAAATAAATAAATTTAATTAATAAAAAATGAGATCAGTTAGTTATAGCATATGAATACTTTTATTACTCATAAAAATATTATAACTTGCATCACAAAAAGGGCACTATCATTTAGCGCTAATAGAAAATGTAGAAAATTCCAGTATCCTCACCCTTTCCCACAATACAGAATGCAAATTTTATTATTGTTTCTCTTAAAATTTGCACACTCACACATTTATACACTTACACACACATATTCATTCACATACACACACTCTCATACACACACACACACACACACACACACACACACACACACAAATATACTTACACACTGATCATATACACTGAAACACACACACACTCTTATACACACACACACACAATCTCTCACACACATACCAGGTCAGGAGAGAATGCCAGATCCCCTTAGCAGGAGTTACAGGTGACTGCGAGCCACCTGATGGCAGTAGAACTCAGTTCCTCTGAAAGTATGGGAAGCTTCCTTAACCACTGAGCCATATCTCCAGGTAATACAAATTTCTACATTTTTTTCTCATGTGTAAGAACATATCTCCTGGGGGCTGGAGAGATGGCTCAGAGGTTAAGAGCACTGGCTGCACTTCCAGAGGTCCTGAGTTCAATTCCCAGCAAACACATGGTGGCTCACAACCATCTGTAGTGAGATCTGGTGCCCTCTTCTGGTGGGCAGGCGTACAGGCCAGCAGAACACTGTATACACATAATAAATAAATAAAAGTCGTTAAAAAAAAGAACATATCTCCTTTGTATTCATTTTTCTACATTATCTCATGGGTTGTGGACTTTTCCATGTAGGACTTCAAGGTTAGAATTAACCAGTCAAATCCCTACAATTAACAGATTTCTCCAACCTGGAAGCAGAAGCCTCCCTTGATGATAAGTCCATTGGGACTTCGGTGAACTGTAGCTGGAGTTTCTGTTCCACCTGGTCCCTCAGCTGATTAGCCCCAATAAGCACACAGAGACATATTAATTATTACACTATTGGTCGATGGCTAAGGCTTCTTACTGACTAGCTCTCTCTTAATTATTAACCCATAACTATTAATCTATATATTTCTACATGGCCTTATATTACCAGAGAATGCATGGCATATCCTATTTTCCCAGATGCTACATGGCGGTTTCTCTGGCGGCTTCTCTCTGTATCCTTTCCCAGCATTCCCCTCCTCTGGTAGCCCCGCCTATACTTCCTGCCTGGCTTCCGGCCAGTTCTTCAACCAATAAGAGAAACAAATATACGGAAGGACATTCCCAATCAAAGAACATATTCAAATTTGAACAAGGCATGTTTCTTAAAAGCATGAGCACTATAATACTTCATTCTGTGCACAGTGCTAGAATAGAGTTCTAGAATAGACTTAAATGTAGTGAGTGAAAGTCAAAGGGTTTTCACTACGTGTGTGTGTGTGTGTGTGTGTGTGTGTGTGTGTGTGTGTGTGTACACACCTTGCTTCCCCTGGAAAGTGTGGAGGTCAGAGAACAACTCTCTTTATACCCTGTGGGATTTGGGGATTGAACTCAGAACTCAGGTTATCAGGTTTAGCTGAAAGTAACCTGGCCTGCTGAGCCACCTTGTTGACCCTCACAGATGAAAACACAAACACAACAATAACAAAAATACACACATTACCATCATTCACTCTCAAGCTCAGGATGCAATGTACCTTCAACGACCTTCTAATACTTCCCATCATTTACTATGTCTTATACATATGGTAAATATTTCTACAATCAGTCACACAATTTGCCTTTATGTCAGTGTCAGTCACAGTGTGAATAGAAGCCATTGTCAACCTTGGCTGTTGGGAAGGAAACAAACTTCTGTGATTTCCAGCCCAGCTGTAGAAGCAATCTCTTTCTCATTGATGGGTCAGTGGGCATTCTTTTTTTTTTTTTTTCTATTTTAAGGGGGATCCTTAAAATGTACCAAAGAAGTCAGTAAAGGGTTTCCTATTTGGTTCACCTAGTGGGTTTGCTTTCTGCCTCCCTCAATTCCTTATGACTGGGAGTTTAACAACCTGCTTATAAGTCAGCAGTAAGCTCCCCTCCTACCAGCCTGGCAGCAGGGATTCTCCACCCCTTTCATCTTAACAAAGGCCACAATCTGAAGGACTGAAACTGTGACCTTGGTGCCCTGGAGGGCATGCTAACCACTGAAATCCCTCAGGGATGAGGCAGAGTCCTCAAGGGGAAGACTGATTTCCCAGGGACCATACAAATCAGTGGAAAATGAGCAGGAGCTCTAGGGGATCCACCTGGTCCATAAAACTGCCTTGGACATTACAGCTATAACTGTTCTTGAAATGGAGTGGTGATTGACATGGAGGGGGGAGGAGGGGAAGACGCTCCTGAGAAGTACGGAGAGCTGGTGTAACAACACTCCCTGACATCCCTTTTACTACTAGTGAAACATGCAAATGTCAAAGATGACTGAGTTTCCAGGAAAGACACAATAATGAGTGAGGAGGCTGAAAATAAAATGTATTTTATTAGAATGCTCAGTACATTCTTTTAGGACACTAATGAGCTAAGAATGGAATTCCTTCAGTGCAAAACCCCCCAGCAACAATACAAATAAAATCCCCAACGTACCAGAGTGACATATAACTCATTACCATGCCCTGGGATTCACTCCAGGAATCCCTGCAGTTTAACTTAAACTTATTTGAGTCATAAGTGTTTGGAATTGTCAAAATCAGAAAACAGCAAGCCCCCAAATTCCACACACAAAATGAGACAAAGCAAGTGAATACATAACAACTTATGAAAGACCGGGGTTAACAAATAGAAACAGCTAAAATTTGTTCTTTAAATAAAGAAAGGGGGAAACAAATATTGCCAATTAGTTTTCAATATTAGGGTGACATTATTTTCATTTCATTGTAAGACATTTACCACTATCTAAATTGATCTTTGAAATGCAAGAACCTGCTCTGCCAGGTACAGTAGAATGATGGGAGTTTGGTTCTTGAGGAGCTCTAGATGCTAAAGCAACAGCAGGACCAGTCTCAGGATCATCACCAGGCTGAATAAACAGAAGAGGAAGAGAGATGAAGGTCACTCTGAAGGACAATGTACTCCCTGTCATGTTCCTATCTGTTCCCTCTGAGGGCTCTATTTAACATTTGTTAGAGCAGCAGGGAACTTATTTTTCTTGTGTTCTAACTTTCCAGATGCAACCTAAAAACATTCCCTGAAGGAAAGAGAAATCAACTCCATGTTCTGAAAACCTTGGATGAGGGATTAAGGGAGAAATGCCAGTAGAAATGTAAACTTCCAAAATCTACCCAAGAAAAGCAACTAGAAAAAATAATCAAGGGTGCTAGGAAGACGGTTCATCAATTAAGAGCAATTGCTCCTCTTCCAGAGGACCTGAGTTTAGTTCCTGCATCCATGGCAGAGGCTTGTAACAATAAATGATACAGAACCCCAGCCCCAAGGGGTCTGATCACCTCTTTTGAATCTGTAGGTACCTGAACACTCATGGGATACACATGTTGCCTCAAGTAACTCAATGGGGGTATTTTTTCCGAGTATTAGAAATGTTCCATCACTGGGATCCTTTCTTCATCACTAATCCCACTTTGATCCTTCCCAGCATCAAACAATATCTTCAGGTCAGGGACACTATTGGAAAGTTGTCTTTGGCAGCTCCTCCCCCCAAATAAAAACCACCACACTAGATAAATACAGAGCCATTCTAGAAAATTCTAAAGCAAGAAAAGACCATCACACTATTGAGGAGGATTTAACTCAGGGCTAAATACTACTGACACTTTTAAGTATTTCCGTTTTGTCTTGTTTTTTGCCACAGACATCTTTAAAAACTGGGTCAAACAGTATGTGTTGTGTTTTACCCCGTTTTTATATGTTATTATGACATTATTAATTTCCCATGATGCCAACTGATTTTTCAATTATGATATGCAAATACCTGTTTAATATTCCTTAAGTGGATAAAATATTTTCATTTATTTTCTGGTGAATTTCTGAGCAGCTTTAATTTTCTGGTTCCTATTTTCTATTAGAAATAGTTCTATTAGAAATATTTCTATTAGAAATAATTAGAAATAACCATAGTGAACATTGGGCTTTG